ACTGGCTCTGACCATCTCCTGCTATGGATCAGTACATCAGAATGTGTCCAGGTCAGGGGGGTCGGGTCCAGTTCATATGTCGGAACCATCGGCTGTGTTTTGACCCCCTCCGTACCCGCAGTGTGTTTTGTTGGACTCTCGGCGTATTTATTTTATTGTTTGTGGTTTCTGAGAACATTTCCAATAAACATTTTAAGTGCCAAACCCGGGGTGGGGGAGGGGCAGGGTACCGAAATATTAAAGTGAACATAAAGCTGAAGGGGAGGACGGAGGTCAGATAGAAGACTGAAGGGGAGGACGGAGGTCAGAGAGAAGACTGAAGGGAAGGACGGAGGTCAGATATAAGACTGAAGGGAAGGACGGAGGTCAGATAGAAGACTGAAGGGAGGACGGAGGTCAGATAGAAGACTGAAGGGAAGGACGGAGGTCAGATAGAAGAGTGAAGGAAAGGACGGAGGTCAGATAGAAGACTGAAGGGAAGGACGGAGGTCAGATAGAAGAGTGAAGGAAAGGACGGAGGTCAGATAGAAGAGGGAAGGGAAGGACGGAGGTCAGATAGAAGACTGAAGGGAAGGACGGAGGTCAGATAGAAGAGTGAAGGAAAGGACGGAGGTCAGATAGAAGAGTGAAGGAAAGGACGGAGGTCAGATAGAAGAGTGAAGGGAAGGACGGAGGTCAGATAGAAGAGTGAAGGGAAGGACGGAGGTCAGATAGAAGACTGAAGGTGAGGCCGGAGTTCTCCTTTAAGTCCTCTCTGTATGTTCTCTACACAGGGCCAGCGAATCGCGATGGACAACAAGGCCATGTACCTCCACACGTTCGATGAGAAGGAGAACGGATCTGTGTTCGAAGAGACCTTTGATGGGAAAAACCTCTCCAAGATGAACCTGTGTGATGGATGTGAGTACCGTCTTCCCTGTGTTCCCACAATGTATATATAAAGCTGCAACATTTTATTTTTGGTAAAGAACAGAAATGTTAGGACCCCTGTCAAGTTTTTTTTTGTCCGTCACCCATTTGGAGGATTTCTTCGTCCTCTGCAAAACGAATGTTCTCAGTATATGTTTTCAAATGTAATGTAATACTGCACTGTGGCCACTAGATGGAGGAGGAGCATAGGAAATAAATATATATGTCCACTAGATGGAGGAGGAGCATAGGAAATATATACATATGACCACTAGATGGAGGAGGAGCATAGGAAATATATACATATGGCCACTAGATGGGGGAGGAGCATAGGAAATATATACATATGACCACTAGATGGAGGAGGAGCATAGGAAATATATATATATGTCCACTAGATGGAGGAGGAGCATAGGAAATATATACATATGGCCACTAGATGGAGGAGGAGCATAGGAAATATATACATATGGCCACTAGATGGAGGAGGAGCATAGGAAATATATATATATGTCCACTAGATGGGGGAGGGGCATAGGAAATATATACATATGGCCACTAGATGTGGGAGGAGCATAGGACATATATACATATGTCCACTAGATGGAGGAGGAGCATAGGAAATATATATATGTCCACTAGATGGGGGAGGGGCATAGGAAATATATACATATAGCCACTAGATGGAGCTGAGGAGCATAGGAAATATATACATATGGCCACTAGATGGAGCTGAGGAGCATAGGAAATATATACATATGGCCACTAGATGGAGCTGAGGAGCATAGGAAATATATACATATGGCCACTAGATGTGGGAGGAGCATAGGAAATATATACATATGGCCACTAGATGTGGGTGGAGCATGGGAAATATATAGATATGGCCACTAGATGGAGGGGGAGCATAGGAAATAAATACATAATGCCTCTAGATGGGGGAGGAGCATAGGAAATATATACATATGGCAACTAGATGGAGGAGGAGCATAGGACATATATACATATGGCCACTAGATGGAGGAGGAGCATAGGACATATATACATATGACCACTTGATGGAGCTGAGGAGCATAGGAAATATATACATATGGCCACTAGATGGGGGAGGAGCATATTAAATATATACATATTGCCACTAGATGGGGGAGGAGCATAGGAAATATATACATATTGCCACTATGCTCAACAGCTCCATCTAGTGGCCATAACGTGGTATACAAAGAATATTAATTTTTGCCTCTATTTGCACAGAATGAACGTTCGCAGAGATTCGCGGGGCAAATGTCTCTGTGAATGGTTTATAATTATACCCCAAAATATCAAAGCTTTGGTAAAAATGTAACATGCTCCCTTTTGGATCTACTATTGGAAGTTATTTGTCTTCATTTTAAACGTAATGCTTCGTTGTATAATAATCATCATCATCATCAAGTGTGTGTGTGTTGGGGCTTAAGGTGGATCTGCCTCCTCTTCCGTCTTGCACAGTTGTACAGGAGTGTCTGATTAATCTTTACTTGAAGGGAAGTTGAGGCCTTGTGTATAGAGGGGCCTAGGATCTGGGGGTTGAAGGCAAGCCTAGGTACTTGCCAGGACCACAAGGTGCCTCCACTTTGGTAGACATGAAAGGTTCACTTGGGTTTAATATGTACTCACAGAGAAGCTCAGAACATGCATGTTTATGAAACGTTCTTCCATAAAAGAGATCTTTATGTGGTTGGATGGACCTCCATCAGATGTCTGTAGGTAGCTTTGAGAAGAAGAGAATGTCCAGGTCATGGTATATCAGGCATATCTGTCTTGAGGTAGGTCTGTGAAGGTTCTCAATCATCCAGGTTATGATATATCAGGTATATCTGTCTTGAGGTAGGTCTGTGAAGGTTCTCATTCCTCCAGGTCATGGTATATCTGTCTTGAGGTAGGTCTGCGAAAGTTCTCATTTGTCCAGGTCATGGTATATCAGGCATATCTGTCTTGAGGTAGGTCTGTGAAGGTTCTCAATCATCCAGGTTATGATATATCAGGTATATCTGTCTTGAGGTAGGTCTGTGAAGGTTCTCATTCCTCCAGGTCATGGTATATCAGGTATATCTGTCTTGAGGTAGGTCTGTGAAGGTTCTCATTCCTCCAGGTCATGGTATATCTGTCTTGAGGTAGGTCTGTGAAGGTTCTCAATCATCCAGGTTATGATATATCAGGTATATCTGTCTTGAGGTAGGTCTGTGAAGGTTCTCATTCCTCCAGGTCATGGTATATCAGGTATATCTGTCTTGAGGTAGGTCTGTGAAGGTTCTCATTCCTCCAGGTCATGGTATATAAGGTATATCTGTCTTGAATTAGATTAATAACCTAACCTCATATGGTAATAGCAGATCTTCTGGCTACACTCAGTGGGGCTCCTGTGCCAGTCCCAACCTTTAGAAGGTTCTGCAGAGCCATGTTGGACATCTCTCACCAGATGACTAGGTGGCACGCATTGCATTGTGGGATGCATTGCCTAGGTCTGACTTGCTTAAAGCTCAGAAACTCTGCAGAGGGATTTGGTGGCTCTCAAGATGCCATGGAAGCTAGCCAGCAAATCCTACAGGAAACCGACAAAGCTTTCCATCAATGTATGAAGTTAGCTTGTTATCTTACTTAGTACTTAAAGGTTGTGGTTCCAAGATGTAGAAAGTTACCGGCTGGCAACCTGCATGCTTGTTCCAGGTTAGTAAAGTCAGAATCACAATGACAGCCCCGGATCTTAAAAGAAAAAAACCCCTATGAAATAATTCTGCCACGGCACCCACCATGCTTCTAGCCTAAGACCTTAAGTCTTAAGACCTTAACCTAGGCAATGCATCCCACAATGCAATGCGTACCACCTAGTCATCTGGTGAGAGATGTCCACCATGGCTCTGCAGAACCTTCTAAAAGTTGGGACTGGCACAGGAGCCCCACTGAGGGTAGCCAGAAGATCTGCTATTACCATATGAGGTTAGGTTACTGAAATCTAATTCAAGACAGATATACCTTATATACCATGACCTGGAGGAATGAGAACCTTCACAGACCTACCTCAAGACAGATATACCTGATATACCATGACCTGGAGGAATGAGAACCTTCACAGACCTAACTCAAGACAGATATACCTGATATATCATGACCTTCAGTTTAAAACAGGTTCTCTTGAACTTTATGTCTGACCAGGTCCTGCAGTGTTTTCCTTGTCGTTTTATGATGTTCCTCTTCCACATGCCCGGAGCTTACAGAAAACAGAGTCTTGATGCTCAGCCGAGCCGCTTCGAGTTTCACAATCCTTCGTTTGAAGTGTTTCTGCCCACTCCATTAGACATTCGAGGTCAGCGAACGTGTGAAGATCGCTGCCTTTGCCAAAAACTGAGCTCTCATACTCAGACAGGACTCAGCAAGGACTTTGAGAGGAGCTGCATTCCCTGGAAGGAACATGGTATGTCTTAGCCACGGGTGGGCGGCTGGAGAGGGCTATGCTGGTATTATAGGAAAACATACCAGCACCCACCATGTCTGCCATATGGGAACACAGGAACCGGGTCCGGTGTAAACACCACTTAGGCCAAGACTGTCTGATGTAACAGTTATTTTTACTTCGGTTCTTACCGGTGACCTCATACCAGAGTTATTTATTTTTTTCTTCATTTTAAAGAAACTTTGAAACCTGCGAGTGAGTTAATTCATTTCTGTAGCACAGGCATATTCCAGAGTCCTGAGCAGAGTGATTGAACCATTTACATGAGTCCCTGAACCAGAGGAGCTGACTCTCTTATGGGCCTATGTACATTAGTGTCACCTGGACAAGAATTGGGAGTAGTGTAGAAGCCTTGAACATTTTTGGAGGCAAGATCTTGCCTTCGTAGGGCCAATGTACCAACCTATTCAAGTAGATGTGAACCCATGTAAAACGCTAGTAGCAGCCATTGGTTCTTTCATCATGGCACACAAAATAATTAACCAAAAAAACCCTTCCAAATATGTTTTTCATTTGCCTTTAGTTGTGGTTACATGACCACAATACACCTTTTCCATGCTGAAGCTCCGAGGGTGAGGGATGGAGACTCCAAATGATGCCACAAATCCCAGGAGCTACTTGAAGCATAACTCCTCTGCTGTCATGTGCGGGAGAAGGTAGTGGTGGTGGTGGTGATGGTGGTGGAGGGGGCATGTCACCATGTGATGTCACCGGCTGCCTACAAGACCCATTGCAAAGGACGGGCTGCAAACTGACTATTCTACCATAGATCTTCCTCAGTGGATTGTGTGGTCAAGAAGCAACAGGAAGCCTTGGACTCTTGAGTAGACTGGCAGGATCACCAGGTACTAAGCGTGATTTGCCCTTGCTTCCAACATAGAAAGAGGCATTACAAATAACGTGAGGGACAGAAGAATGTAGTCTCAAGCTTTCTAGTTCTACATTACGTGTCCTTCACCAGAGCCTCATCCGGGGGTGAAGACTGGCGATCCATTTCTGCAGTCTGTGCTTGCACCAACCTCATCATGCCGCTACAGTTTTAGAGGCTGAGAGGGCCCCGCCGATGGATAGCCAACGAGAAGGGTTTGCCATAACCCAAAAAGTGATGTGAACACTCGAAGAAGCAGCCTTCCACTCTGCTGTAGGATAAGACTTAAGACCCGGCAAAGCACCTGACCACAAATTTAGGTAGATATTTTAGGCTTTTAGGTTACTTATTGTGTATGAACTGCAACAATTCATTAGAGGGGTGGGGGAGGGAGGGGGTCATGTGCCTATAGTGGAGCTATAATGGCCAACAACTGCCAATTGCATAAAGCAGGAAAGGGTCGAAACTTCTCCCAGCTTCCTATCTGTGTGTCAGGAGAAGGCAGCATGATGCAGTCCACCAGATGTAGCCAGAAACTCAAAATGGTGAAAACCATTTAGATCGAATGCCAAAAAGATAGCAAATATTGACACATATATGAACAATGAGCAGATCACCACAATTATATGGGTT